TTAAGGTAAATGATTCAAACCATGTCAAGATGTGTATAAGAGACAGCGTTAGAGCTGAGTTCGTGTTAGCCACGTTATAAGAGCTGTGTTCGTGTTAGCCACATTATAAATGCTGAGTTCATGTTAGCCACGTTATAAGAGCTGTGTTCGTGTTAGCCACGTTAGAAGTGCTGTGTTCGTGTTAGCCACGTTATAAGTGCTGTGTACGTGTTAGCCACGTTATAAGAGCTGTGTTCGTGTTAGCCACGTTAAAAGCCCTGAGTATTATTCTTATTATTCTTATTTATTATTATTATTATATTATTGTTATAACCAATTATTATTGCATTGCCTTGAAGTGTTGATTGTAAATTGTTAAAGTGATAGATAGGCCTAATTTTTCACAGACTGTTATTATAGGGCGTAGGTGGTGAGAGCATGAGACATAATGGCTAGTGGCAAAAATAATAGTTATAAAAGTGTGTTTACCGTTTCTCAAACATGCCCCATCGATGATCCTGACATCATCTAAAGCAATATCTCCTTTATCACCACTTCCTACAATTCCTTCAAACATTATCTGGAAGGCACTCTTTGTTTTAACTGACAGTTTTCCAAGTCGCCAAATGTTTCCTTGATTGTTTTTATTTGTCCATGCAGGTGCACCAACGGTACCTTCCTTATTGACTAGGTACACATTCAATGTGTTCACTGTGGCCCCGTACATGTGGTAAAACCACTTGACGCATGTGCCATTTGTTGCGGGATATGACAATGTCCAAAGACGAGCGGTTTGGTTGTATTGCTGATATGAAGTTTCGATGTACATGTAGGAACCTGTAGGCAAATGATTAAATACATGTTTTAGTTTAAGAGATTTTGTTGTAATATCTCTTTGAAGTTTATTTTATTTATTTCGTTTGTAGTTTTAGAAATATTTTCATTAAGAATTTACAATTTCATTTAGGAAATTTAAATTCATGTAAGATTTTTTAATACCTTGTAATGTTCCGTAGGTGTGGTCATAAGCAGGGCCAGTAGCAGATGTGCGTGTTGATCCAGATGTTCTTATCCAATCAAAATCATCATATTTATCTTGTACAAAGTAACAGATGTGTGGATTTTCAAAATCACATTGGTTTTTTGCTGAAACAAAAATTCCAAGACAAAATTAATTAACTGATTGTAATTGCATTGGTTAACACAGTAACAGGAACCTGAAGTACAATAATTCCTAACTTTGCAAAAAATTTCAATACTAAAAAAAATCACTTTCTAAATTTCACTCACATTAAGTCAAACCGGTATCCACAACACATTGTTTCATAATGTTATTACCGGTATAAATTACCAAAAACATTTTAGTTTTGAAACTTTAAATTTTACATTACTTAATTAGCTTCTTAAAAATTGTATTATTGGTTCATGCAATTTCTCGTTTGAACTAAAGACGACACCTTAACACCTTGAAGATTTACAATTTCAATTACATTTCATTTTTTAATTCCATTTTACTTTAATAAATATCTTCTTTTCTGACTACAATAATATTATTATTTTTCCAAGTTTTACAGCATATAGCCAAAGATTTTAAGGTAAATGATTCAAACCATGTCATTGAATAATGCAAGATTACTTATGTAAATTTAAAATGGTTTGATAATAAATCCTTAGTCTCTATACTATTTTTTGTTTAATAATAATAATAATAAATTGTTAATTTTTATAGCGCAAATAAATGAGGTCTCTATTCGCCCAACAATATTGTGGACAAGAAACAATAAAAAAAAATTAAAAAATAAAAAATAAAAATCAATAAACACCTAGCTAGTACCCAAACCGAAGTATGGGGTTATACCATCACCGGCATCTGGAGATCTGTGTTATGTACTCCAGTTAGCATCAGTTAAATCTTGATCTTTACTGGGATCATTAGTAAAATAAATAATAGAATAAGAAGAATATACATTATCTCAGTTTCAAACTGAAACTTAGTACTGATGTTGACATTGATTTTTTAATATTCATTCTATTAGCCTAGATTTATGCATAATATTTACAGTCTTTTCAGAAACTGATCATGTTGTATACATTTTTAACCATGTTCTGCACACATAGGTTTAGTATTATATTTAGCTCAATACGTAATGCACATTATTTATCACTGTAAAAACTTACATATATTGCATGTTGGTCCAAAAAAACCAGACACACACTGACAGTTCTCGTTTCCGTAATCCAAGACACAGACTCCGCCGTTCAAGCAGTCAACATCGCAAGTTTCTTCAATTAGAAATTGAACATTAATTAGTGACATACTCTGTTTGTATTAAAATAACCTCATTGCTCATCACAATACTTATTGTATAAAATTATTATTGTTATGAAAATCGCATTTGTCTTTATATATACATTGATTGATATACATTGATTATGTAAGCGATAGATTATTGGCGGTGCTTTTGAGCCAGCTTAATACTAAGACTTTTGAAAATTGATGTAGGAATATAATAGTAGTTCTATACCTATATGTTTAAATTATATAACGCATGATATGATGACTATTAAATACAGTTTAGAGATCAAGGAACATAATATAATGTACATACGTAGAAATAATATATATTATATACCTGCTATACCTATCCGGATACCGCTAACGGTTAGCGCTAACCGATCGGGCGTTCTCACGCAGGTGCTAACAGTTAGCGCTAACGGTTAGCTCCCGATCCGGATACTAGGGCTCTCGTGAGAACCAGAC